TCTTCAAGATTGGTGTATAAGGTATACTTTGATCCAATACGACCACTGAAAAAGCGCATGGGTTTCGTTGAACATTAGAAAACAATTTCAAAAAAGGAGCTGGCAAAATCGGGTCATTACTGTATACGTCTCCAGTGGGATACCTTGTCATTATCATAAGAGCTTACATACACTCCAAAAATTTATCACATATCTAATGGATGAAATCCAAGTGAATTTCACATAGCTTTCCTGTGATCACATAGCTGCAGATCACACCACAAAATTACATGAATATTATGAAATTCATATGAAAAATCATATAAAATTAACGTGATCGCAGTTATGTGAAATTCAGATGAATTCCATTAATTTTGATTATGGATGAAAATCATGTGCGTTTCCAATGGAAGCTACATGAAAACTATTTTCGGTGTATACTAATATGACCAGAAAAAAAAACTGGCATCACTGATAAGTTCAAAATGCAGTGGCTTACTTAATGCTTCAGTGACGCCATCATGATAAATGCAAGCACATTCCTAACTAAAACCTTATTTGCGAAGAATGTGATGGTGAGAGTTATGTCAACAAGCAATACGAAACTTAACGATTTTAAATTGGCTCACTACTTAACTAGCCTATTGGTCCCAAGCAAATCGATTAACGTACCCCATTCTAGTCGAAATTCTAGTACTACGCAATGTTTGTTTTGATTCGCTATGAAAGTTTGACGGATAAAATGAGGGGTTAGTGGATTTTCCTATGTTTCGAAGGGTGAATCGATTAGCTTGGGATCGAAGATAGTACCAGAGCTGAGCCAAAAAGTTGAGCTCGTTTCTTCAGGACCTTCTGATCTTAGAGTTACCTCTATGGTTATGTCTGTTTGTCTGTGCTATAGTCCTACACTCAAAAAATTCCACACGTTTGATCGATGTGTTTAAACACTTGATTTTTTAAATGCACAATCACATTTACTTTAAGTGTATTTCACCTTAGTTCAATGTGTTATACACGTTAATTTCTAGTGTTTCAAACTTTGAAAAGTTGAAAATCTTTCACTATCTATTCAAGTATATTGCACATTGAATCACACTACTGTTCAAAACAGATGGATTTAAAGTGTTTTCCATTTCAATACGATGTGAATTGCTTGCTCAGAAAGGTAAACATCGAAAACAAGAGTTGTGACTTTATCCTATCCAGCCACCTCATATATGAGAACAATCGTGGCACAGTGAGATCGAACAAAGACTCCGGCAGCAGCACACCCCAACAGTCCATGATCGAATCCCAAATCAGGCCCATTAAAAAGATATGTGAAATCTCTGGCCTCTGAAATTTGTTTATATATTTGTCGATTCATTTTTAGAGTCGGTAAAGAAGAAGTCGATAGAGTAGAATATTGTAGAATATTGAACTATGATGTGCAAAGCTACCCGCATAAACGCGAACCATAAATTGACCTTACCAAAAATGGTTAAAAATTGTTTATAATCCCTGCTAAACTTCAACTGAAATGGTTATGGAACTTTACAAGAACGTTTAATGATAAAGTTTTAACCTTATGTATTATGGTTTTTTGGAAGCGGACCTTACAAATAATGAGTTGTTAAGAACCACTACCATTAAAAATTCTTGTTTTCTCCATATATTTTCGGGAGGAGGACTATATTAGAACCTTTTAACTTATGGTTTGAGAACATTAATGGTTATGGTTATGGTAGTCAGTAAGGTCCATGAATAGTTTTGTAACATCGATCAACTTTATGTGGAATATATCGCGAATTGGTTGCCTGTAAATTACTGATTACCAATTTACGATGTATTCCACGTAAAGTTGAGCGATAATACAAAACCATTAATGGACCTTACTGACTATCATAACCATAACCATTAATGTTCTCAAACCATAAGTAAAAACGTTCTTATATAGTTCTCTTTTCGAAAATGTATGGAGAAAACAAGAATTTTGAATGGTAATGGTTCTTAACAACCCATTATTTGTGAGGTCCGCTTTCAAAAAACAATAATACATAAGGTTAAAACTTTATCACACAAACGTTCATGTAAAGTTCCATAACCATTTCAGTTAAAGTTTAGGAGGGATTATAAACAATTTATAATTATTATCGGTAAGGTCAAGTTATGGTTCGCGTTTATGCGGGTATTGATATCACCATATGAGGCACATAGAATCCAAGTGTGTCACAATTCAAATCCATAGTGTTCAGGCATGGTTCATAGCATAAGATTCACACATGAAATGGATGTGTTTCACAATAAGCGTGAGACACATGATGATGATGACGTGGGCAATTTTATGAGTGTATACTGCCCATAATCGCATATCATTCCCATATGGATAGGAAATCAAGCAAAGATGGGACTGATATGCGATTATGAGTAGTATAGGTTTGTGCAGAAATGCAACACATCAGAACATGCTTTGATTCGCAATTAGTATATAGTAGGTTAGGTGTATATTGTAATTGTAGGTTAGTTTTAGTTGTAAATAGTAGTTATAAGTAGTCTCCTTTTCCAATTTAAAATAAACCAATCCCACCCAGGAGGGAATTTTCTAAACATGCCTGATGGGAATAGAAATATAAACAATAATTTTCAAATTTTCAAATGAACTAAAGTTGAAAAGACTCACCTTTGTCACTTAAGGGCCACCCACATTAGATCCGTTTTCTTTGCGTTGACGTAAATTTGACAGTTAGACAATAGATTTAGCTGTCACTTTGCCGCAACGCGACCGATCCGGATCTAATGTGCATGGGCTTTTAAGAATTTAAAGAAGTAAACCACACATTCAAGAAATAAAGATCATTCAAACTGAAAAAAAAAACACACTTCTGTCTATGCGAGCTCTATCGCGCTCTGTTCCTCCAGCCAACACATAGTTTTCGTGTTCATCTTTCCTGCTTCACGTTTCAGCCTGGTGTACTGCTCAGCAACCAGTTAGCGATAGTGTTATCACAGACAAACAGACATAACACTCGCAAGTTGTTCATCGAACAAGCATTTAACGGACCATTTAAAAGTATCGTAGTTGGTAGTACCACCACCTGTGGCGCGCATAGTCAATTTCCTTGCGTTTGACGTTTACACACTACCGCCATCTGTTCAGTGTAGTGCCCACTACAGTGTGCTCAATAAATGGCGGTAATGTTTTGGCGTGTTGATGTTTTACAGTGAGAAATATTCAATATGTTATGTCTGTTTGTCTGTGAATTAACACTGGTCAACGGACAACACACAACACCAAGCAGACCAGTAGGAAAATGTTCAGATTCCGAAAAATTCCATCTGAAGCGGGAATCGTGGTACTCACAATCCGCCTGAACGACGGGTTACACCCGTTACACCGCTAACCGCACGACTACGAAGCCCAAACAAAAGAGAACTTCTTCTTCTTGAAAATTGGGTATGCTTTTATCCGATTTTCCAAAATCTTTCTGTTCTGCTCCGCTGTACGTACAAGCGCTCTTCGATGAGAGCTACCGTCTTACCTGACTCATAACGAATATACGTTGTATCCGGCGTAAAATGAATCAGCTAATTTTGCATTGCAAATGGTATGTTAAATTAGACTAAGTATACGTTGTATCCGGGGCCCGCAGGCACAACGTACACACTGAGCTTTTATTCGCGAGAAATCGGTGATTGACGTATTTGTTTACAAATGCAATTACGCCCAAATCTCAAATCACTCCGGAAATAATATGGCCAATTTTTTTATGTTTTGTTTTCTTTTTCACTGATCATCCTTCGGTAGGGAAGTAAAGCCGTTGGTCCCCGGTTGATTAGTTGATGGGTCGATATGTAGGGTCCAGGTGTGGGAGCTGCCTTCCTGGCGTCAGGAGCATTGGTAATTAATACTGAAAACAAAATCGACGGAAAAAAATCAAGGAAAAAAACAGAAAATTGATTATATTTAGCAACTGCAGCATACTTACTTACCTCAAGTCTCAAGATTTTCGGAAATTTTGCACTTATTTCCCGAAATTCACAAGTTTTGTTATTGTTTACATTTTTGTTCGGGTGAAACCGAGGGAATGGTTGGTAGTTATTTTTGCATTCATGGCCCGGGGAATGGACACAGCAAATAAATGCTAAATTAAAATGAACTATTGTTGGCTTAATAATAGAATATTGTTATTTTTACAATAGTTGCAGTTGAAAAGTGGCTTATTAAAACAAAAAGAATACTATTTTGAATTTATATGAATAAGTATTATTGAAACAACAAAATGCAATATAATATCAACCAGAATTGTTTGTTTAAATACAACTAAAGTTTTGTTTGGTTCAATGCATTTCACTTCCAAAAAACCATAAGAGGAAATGGCTCTAATGTTGGCCTATATGGCCTATAAGATTGGGCCCATCACTAAAAATCTGCTATATCAATTTTATCTATTTGAATGCGTCATTGGGACGGTACTAATGGATATTTTTGGTCGCTATTGAAAATTTAGTCGATTGCTGAATTTATGTATGGGCCCAAATTAGGGGCATTTAGGCCGACATTACATCCATTTTCCCTACACAGCAAAAAAAGTTGTTGAATATTACATCGAAACTGCTGCAACCAGGTCAATCCATCGGTTTTGTAATATCACATTGTACGATGTACATCGATTTTTCGAACAAAATTACATCCATTGATATAATATTGTATCTACTTTTTGCTATTACATCAGCTTGAATTACGTTGATCGAAATTACATTTTTTTTTTTGCTGTGACATGTCGCAAAAACGTTCATGTAAAGTTCCTTAACCATTTCAGTTGAAGTTTGCAGGGATTATACACAATTTTTAACAATTTTCGGTAATGTCAGGTTATGGTTCGCGTTTATGCGGGTCGGAATACTCATGTTGGATTAGCAGAAGGATACTGTATTCATTGACCACTTATGAGTTAATCTGGCAACTCTGTACTTTGCTTTTTGCGCTTTTGCTTTGGCTTGCGACTTGCGACATCGGCGAGTGGCAAAGCTGTCAGAAATCGAAAGAGCAAAAAAATCATTTTTCGTCACAAAAAGTTGTATGTTGTGTGGACTGTGCGTATTTACTTTGCGAATAAAAATATCTTAAAGAATAACAATCCCAAAAAATGAGCTGTAACGATAAAAACGAAGGAATATCTCGGGAAGAGTGGCAATCTCGATTGGAAACGTTCCCTTTTAAACAAGATGACATCAACAAACTGATAATGAATTATCTGGTCACAGGTAAAAGAGAGTGCAAAATTCATAAAAGATCACCATTCCCTTTCTGCTACGTTTGTTTTCTTCCGTAACTTTCTTTTGTTGTCGAGTAACATGTCGCAAAATTATACCAAAATCGGAACAATGGAAAACTGAGCGAACAATATTGATCACTGTTGTATAATTTCATATTGCTTCATCTTCATCGTAACTTGTAGAGGGATTCAAGGAGGCAGCGGAAAAGTTCCAAGCAGAATCTGGGGTGGAACCTTCGGTAGACTTGAGCTCGCTTGACAACAGAATTTTAATACGGGAAGCCGTGCAGAATGGAAGAATACAGGAGGCAACACATCTCGTTAACCAACTGCACCCGGAACTGCTCGACAACGATCGCTACCTCTACTTCCATCTCCAGCAGTTGCATCTCATCGAACTTATCCGGTGAGTAATTAGTCGAGGTGAAACACTGCTTGCTAGGGATACATTAACTGTCTCCGTTTTTTATATTTTGATGGTTTACATAGGGGAAAAGTTGGCTTCGGCAATACCTTAACCTATTACCGTCAGAGGGTAAACAACGTCCTTGAGAGCTCAATTTTGGCATGTGGATACTTTGTGTTTCCGTAATTGTAATTGTAATTTATTTAGACTACGATACCCTGCTGGTAGAACCTTTTATGAGGTCAAGCAAGTCCTTGTTAGTTTTTACCAGCGATTGAAAAAAGTCATCATCATAATTTTAGCGGCGCCGGTGGTGTAGGGGTAAGCGTGATTACCTATCTTCCCAGTTGGCGCCGCCGGGCTGTTCTGAGGCATAACATCTCTGATCACGCCTTCCTTAGAAAGGGAAGTAAAGTCGTTGGTCCCCGGTTCATGAGTTGATGGGTCGATAGGTAGGGTCCCAGGTGTGGGAGCTGCCTCCCTGGCGTCGGTAGCATTGGTGCTCGGCACGGAAAACAAGATCGACGAAAAACAAATCAAGGAAAAAAATCATAATTTTTGGTTCAAAGTTCGAGTGGTAGAAAACGACATTTAAAACTGCTAGAATGATTTGATTAATTGACCACTTAGTCAAGCAGTTTTGGCGTGACTTTCTACCAGCGATTTCACAAAACTGGACCACATAATTTCTATTTTTTTATGAAACACACAAATGTTGGCTACTTTTCTCGAGGTTCTAGAAGAATAAATCTCAAAATAATGTTTTATTTCAAAGTTCGAGTGGTAGTAAACGTCATTTTAACTGCTCGAATGAAGTGGTTAATTTATTGCTTCATTTTCTTAAACTCGCTTGCCGGGATTTTCTGAGGCATAACATCTCTGATCACGCCTTCCTTCGGCGATCAGTTTTGGGACAACCTTCTCCAAAACTGATCGCCGAAGGAAGGCGTGATCAGAGATGTTATGCCTCAGAAAATCCCGGCGGCACCGACTGGGATTGAACCCAGGCCTTTTGGGGTGAGGAGAGGCAATCACGCTTACCACTACACCCCGGCGCCGCTAATGCATTATTTTTATTGATATAATTTTTGCTGTTTGTGTGTACGTAGTACTGGGGGAACATGAACTCGTCTAATTTTACATTCATTATGCTATGTTAAATTAGACGAGATATACGTTGCATCCGAGGCCATCGAGCACAACGCACATTTGTTTTTTTTTTCTTTCCCACAGACCTAATTGGTCCATATTTATACATTTGCTATAATAGGTCAGGTAACACAGTAGCACCAACCGGTGGAAACTAACGATTTTAAATTGGCTTACTCCTTGACTAGCCTATTGGTCCCAAGCAAATTGATTAACGTACCCCATTCTAGTCCAAATTCTAGTACTACATGAGGGGTTCGTGGATTTTCCTATGTTTCGAGGGGTGCATTGATTAGCTTGGGACCGAAGAGATTACCAGAGCTGAGCCAAAAAGATGAGTACGTTTCTTCGTGACTTTCTAGTCTTAGAATTACCTCTATGGTAGCACCACAAACAAAGTGACAGACGGAGCGGCTCGAAAACTTTGGTGACGAACCTGCTATTGCAATTTTTCAGTGTACCACATGGCAACACTACTACTGGATTGTACTAGCATTTTCACCAAATGTACTAGAATGTTTTGTTTCTATGTTTTTCACTCTACTCAAAACTGAAATGCATAAAAAATTACAAAATGATACTCTTCTTGCACACTGTCAAAAATCATTGCACACAAAATCAACTTTGTTCAAATCAGAACAAAAATACTAGTCCATCTTGTGGCTGATGGCACAAGCTTCTAATAAATTTCTATTACAGCGAACCACATTATTTTAATTGATTTCTTCGCCAGTTAGTCGTCTGTCACTTCGTTTGTGGTAGCACCGTAGGGAAAGTCAACTGGCTTCTTTTAGTTGGCCTTCGTTACGTCCATGTTTCCTGTTGTTACGAATCCGTTTCTTGTGCGCTATCGGAATCATCGGGAATCGATAGAAGTGATTATCAGGATGCGATTTACTGCTGCAACTTTACTCTTTATGCTTTGTTTGGTTTTTACGCTTAAAGCAAGAACTTTACTACGCGGAAAAATAACAATGATAGAACGCAACATGGCCAACTTCAAAACTACCCGATGGCAGTTTTGCACACACTAGGAGCAACAATCAATACGAAACTAACGATTTTAAATTGGCTCACTACTTGACTAGCCTATTGGTCCCAAGCAAATCGATTAACGTACCCCATTCTAGTCCAAATTCTAGTACTACACTCTGTTTGTTTTGATTTGCTATGAAAGTTTGACACATGAAATTAGGGGTTAGTGGATTTTCCTATGTTTCGAGGGGTGAATCGATTAGCTTGGGATCGAAGATAGTACCAGAGCTGAGCCAAAAAGTTGAGCACGTTTCCACCGACAAACCGACATCACACTTAATTCTGACTTATGCCCGAAAATCGTAAACGGCCGATTCAAATGTGCAGTGATCCGAACTGTCAAAACCATAGGATTTTTTGATCTAGATAAAAAAAAATTGGCCAGAATAGATCAGACACGAACCAATTCATAACTTTTGCATGCAGGTTCATGGCTTATCTAAATATTTCCCGCGAACACAGAGCCAGATGTCAGTAGTGTGCTTTGGTCAGAAATTTTATTATTTTTACTATGGTCATTCATGTCGGTTTGTCGGTGACGTTTCTTCGGGACCTACTAGTCTTAGAGTTACCTCTACACTCTAAAAAAACTTCACGTCCGATTTACGTGAAATATCACGTAACTGATCTGAATTTAGAAAATTTCAAATGTTACGTGACGTTAGTAACTTTGACCTGCATTACACGTCATGTCCACTAAAAATGTTGGTGAAATCGACCGTATATTCACGTAAACAGATTTAGTGTATTTGTGTTTGTGTGTTTGGGACTTCGATATTTCCGCGTAACGAGATTTACGTGATTTTCAGGTACGCAAAAAAAAAGTCAATATGGGTCACCAAGCGTGGTGGAAGAACACCTCAAAAAATCATAATTTCCCAGTAGCTTGCTACAAATATTGGACGGTAATTTGATTTATTTACATTAATTTCTTTATGATTATATGTAGCCTTTTTCTAGGTTTATAATTTCAGACGGTGGCATCAGCAGCTATTAATATTTTGACAGAAATGAAGAAATCTCATGAACATTTCCACCTACCAAGTACACACAGGCAAAAGAACGTATAGTCTTAATATAAACACGTGGAATTTATATCTGCCCGATGAAATTGCATAATATTACTTTATTAAAGAGACTTTCAGCCCTAGGCTGGTTCGTCTCTAACCAGTGCTTCTACATATAAGTTCCATTATTCTCATTCAAAATTCACGTACAAATGATGTGAAAAGCATTTCAAACAAAAAGGAAAATCACGTAAAAGTTACCAATTTTCCAGTAGTTTTCACCCCGATTTCACGTATGAAGTACGTGGAAATCAGGTCTTATTTACCTGAATAATTACGTAGATAATTGAAACTGAATTTTGATCGGCTAAGTGCAATTCCGGTAAAAGTTACGTGAAAATAGGGTGGACGAAAACCACCTATGTTTTCACGTAAATCGGACGTGACGATTTTTCAGAGTGTATGCTAGGAGTCTTCAAAATCAACCAATCAGCGACTGGATCACATGCTGAATTAAAATCTATACGCATGTGTTGTCTGCTCTTTATCTTAGCGTATGTCTACAAACTGTACAATTCACATAACCTGAGTCTTGAGAGATCTTGGTGCTACCTATGGCGGATCGGATGTCCCTCCAGTCATCTTCAAGAGTAGCTACACCAAGTTGCTCTTTAGTTGGCAGCGTTGCTCTCTGCTGCTGGGCGTATTTCTGGACAGCTCCGTCGTCCTGTAACTGCTCATTGCTGGGTCGCGACGTTCGACTTCGACCCGTGTACCGTCGAGAGTTTTGAGCGCATGCAACTAGCTACTGTCTTACCTAACTCATAACGAATAGGGAAACTAGGGGCAAGAAGGTAACCCGAGACAAGAGTGCCACCCTCAATATATCTTGAAAATGAAACATTTCAATCCTATCTCACCATGAATCAATGCATGGTATTCCTATGAAGCATTCTAGAAACTTCTGTCCGAATCGAAACCGTAAAAAAAATACAAAAATCATTTTGTGGTGATGTCTTGAAAAGCAAAGTTTTCGGAATTTCCAATTTATTTTCTTCACAATTTCTGCATTGAGACGTCACTATTGATAGGTTGATTGAAACATTAATAACAATAAATCAGGCGTAACATTTGATAACGGCACAAACACTTTTGTAAACAAAAGTTGTAAGGTCCTCTACACGCGAACCGAAGTACGCCCACGCAAACCAATACAATTATCGGAAAGGGGAAAATTTCCCCCACCCGATGATGTTGTTGGTTTCCGTGGGCGTTCTTCGGTTCGCGTGTAAAAGGGACCTTACATCTTTTGTTTACAAAGGTTTTGTGCCGTTATCAAATGTTACGCCTGAAATTATTAAATATTTTCTTTAAATTGATCGAAAATTATATTCCTAAAAATAAACTTTATACGGGGCAAGACTGCCACTTATGTATAAAATTGTATAAAAATGTTCAATAATTAGCACAATGGGGCATTTATGTTTCCGATATACATTGTTTTCGTGAAATTTTGGAAAACAAACTGAATAAAATAGTATCAAACATAAGGTCGTATGAATAAAAGCGTTTACTTTACTTTTCCCGAAAGAAAAGCACGGGAAAGTAAAGTAAACTCTCTTTATTCATACGGCCCATAGTTTTCATTTGAATTCTTTGACGCACATGGTTTATATTTTTATCAATATATATCAATATATACCATGTGGATAAGTCAATATTTTTTTGTGGAATAAACAATAAAAGCAGTTGCTGGCATACTTAAGAATCGTAATTTGTTGTTTATAAATGAACATTTATCAGTTTCACTTCATTTTAGACCTATGGCCCTTTTGCCTCACAAGAAATGAAGTAGCCTAAGACTAAAAATCTCTAAAATAAAGTTTAAGCAGGTACGACATGACATTTTGTAAAAAAAAACATTAATGTGTTTTTATGGGGTTCAATTTTAATTTCAATGATAATACATGGAGACAAGGCTATAAACTTACCATTCGGCGAACAAACTCCTTTAAATATTCACGGAATCGCCCTATCGTTAGGGTGATCTTCTTGTCCCTAGTTCCCCTATACGTTGTATAAGGGGGGGAAAATGGACTCGTCTAACTTTGCATTGCAATTGCTATGTTAAATTAGACGAAGCATACGTTGTATCTGAGGCCCGCGGAGATAACGTATATACGTTATAGGTCTGGTAACACAGTAGTGGTCCGAATCTATATTCGCACTGCGGTAGATGAAATTATTCTCCGATATTATCAATATCAACATCAAGCAACTTGCAGTTTTATGTTCCTCAGGGCCTCAGATAGTCTATTTTTGGGCATATATCAGTGGCGTCGCGTCCACATGTGCAACCTGTGCACGACACAGGTGTAAATAATTTAAAACAAAATGCGTTTAGATTTTCATAGATTTTATGGTCACATTATAGCTGTACTTCTTTACTCCAGACCACAAGTGACCATGAATACACGATTTTATAGTGTGGCTCAATTAAATCTTCGACCTTGGTTTGTTTCAAAAAGGATTAAATTCATTTTGGATGGTCTGCCTAATCCCTTAAGCAAGTTTGTGAATGGTTAAATGCCTGATGTAAGCCAAGCAGACCTTCTATCACCTCTTGAAACATACCACAAATTTTCGGTTTGTACCACTAGTTGTAATTGAAACTTTTAGAAGTCACGCGTAAAACGGGAGCAACACGGAATTAGCAGTCTGGTACGCTTTCAATGACATTTATATAAGGTCTGGGCCAACAGGCAGCTTGCTGGTGTTAGAAGCAAAATGTTGGTAACATTACTGAACATCTGCGAACAGATAGAAATACGTCACTGCCAACATACTGAGAACAGATAGAAATACGTCACTGCCGACAACTGTTTCGTGTAAAAAGATACACATTGCAATAAAATACGAACACCACTAAACATTTGCACTTTTCACTAACACCAATAAGCCCTTTGGCCCAGACCTTATATAAATGTCATTGGTACGCTTTGGACGTGTATCACACTTACAGGCCGGTTTGAATGTGTGAGTTTAAATTAGAAGATAATTTGTGATGTATTGGTGCCGAAAGCGTGCATTTCTCGCTGTGCACTTGGATATCTGATTGCTGGCAAAGAGAGTAATGGAGAAAGAGAACGCAAAACTTCGCTCTCACTCTTTTGTCAGTTGTAAATCTCTCAATTACCGATGGTTGCGCCGGCGCGCCTGTCAAAACTTATGAGTTTCCCTGGTTCATTCTGATAGCGTTGTTCTGATGAATAAAGAGTTGATTAATTCAAGTTTGCTAACCAGTAGACTTCATGAATTTTCTCAAGATTTTGACACTGTTTTGTATCAAAAAATGTTTTCGGAAGTGTTTGACGGATATGCTTCATTACACTTCAGTCAAAAGAGTTAGCCTTGTGATAAAAACGAAAATTAGGGGAAATGGATGTAATGTCGGTCTAAATGCTCTTAATTTGGGCCCATACATAAATTCAACAATCGACTAAATTTTCAATAGCGACCAAAAATATCCATTAGTACCGTCCCAATGACGCGTTCATCTAGATAAAATTGATAAATAACAGATTTTTAGCGATGGGCCCAATCTTAGATACATAGGCCAACATTAGAGCCATTTCCCTTAGTTAAGTTTTGCAATTCTTCCTACTTTGGTTAGCGAGAAAAGGGCCATACAAGTTTTGTTTACACAAGATGATAGGCCCTTCAAATGTTACGTTAGGTTTTGATTAATATAGTAATTGAGAATATGTCCCTCGAATTCATGGAGCATTGAAAAATAAAACAAAAAGTAATATGTGGTGGTAAACTATAACGAACCAAGTTTGGTGCACAGGTAAACAAATGAAGCACGCGCGCCTCTGAATATGATTATACTTGTCACACAATATACAAATTCATGCATTGACTGGCATAGACAGCTCTCAATTAATATCTGTGGAAGTGCATATAGAACACCACATTGTGAGCCACTGAAATTGTTTTCAGTCGCCTTTAATATGGAGAACAGGCGCTCGGATGGGCTGCGCCCTCCAGAGAGAGGAGCCTCCACTTCCCTGTCAGCATAACACAAACACATACAACCAAAGTCCCACCGTGGTTGATTACCCAACCTTTGCTTTAGTTAGGAGGGACCCTAATAAAAATTGTATGGTTAATTTGCTTAACGACGTGTTCTGTGTATCATCCAAACCATTTGTGGAATAGTTCAATGATTTGGGTTATCGTTCGTTTATGGTTATTTTTTATTAGGGGAGGTAGGGATAAAAATTACTGAACTAAGGACCACATTGAAGTCTATTTTATGGGACCCGTACAGAAGGCCGAAAATATTCTAAGGTACCACAAAAGGCCGAAAATCGAAAAGACCGAAAACCAAAAAGACCGAAAATTTATCAAAAACCGAATTTGTTGAAAATCGCATCCAAACAATCTGTTAGCCTTTCTGCTCGCACAACTGACTCGGCTCGTTAAATGGTTTGCATTCACAAAAAATGAAGCCAAGATGAAATTAGATATAGAGGTGTTCTCACTTGCTGACTTTTTGGGAAAAACCAGTAAGTGGTAAGCTGCGAGTAAGAGAACGGTAAGGAAATGAGAGATGCGATAGAGTTGAACGGTTTATTTACGCAACATTCTGATTGGGTAGCGAGTTGCGCAAGCAGTTGAATGTGTGTTACTACACACTTAGTTTTTTTCTACCGAGCTCGGCTGTGCAAATCTCGGCAAAAAAAGTTTTACTGAGATCTCAGCAAAAGTGACATTTGATTGCTGAGTCTCGGATAATGCTTTGCTGAATCTCATCAAACAAATGAAATGTTTGCTGAGATCTCAGTAAAACTGTTTTTGCCGAGATTTGCACAGCCGACCTCGGTAGAAAAAACTAAGTGTGTAGAACGTTCAGCAAAACGGACCAAGAGAACTATCGCTGCTAATGACGATTTTCGATTTGAGAATACCTCCCATATTGAATTTCATCTTGAACGAAGCCATCATCGTCATTGCATAGTCAAACATCTGGAAAAATAAAGCTAACTATCACTTTCTCTCCCATTTAGCATCTGAAGCATGTCTGCTCTTACAACTGAGTCACCTCGTTCAATTGTTCGCATTCACACAAAACGAAGCCATCTTGTCATTAAATCGTCGTTAAACACTCAAACAAACATAAAACTAACTTTACCCAAATTTTAAGTTTTTTTTTCATTACGGAAATCGAATGGCTATTAAGTAGCTTCAATTACATTTTATTTTGAAGATGCAGAATAAAAATTATTGTAACTTTACTTTAATAATGTAATTTAATTTATTAAAAACAAATTAACAAAAGGCCGAATCGGGAAAGCGACAAAGTGGACCGTCTTTGTGTCCACTTTGTCGGTTTCCCGAGCTTTTTCGACCTTTTGTGTTTTCGGCCTTTTGTGATTCGGCCTTTCGTGATTCGGCCTTCTGTGATTCGGTCTTTCGTGTATTTCGGCCTTTTGTGTATTTCGGCCTTTTGTGTATTTCGGCCTTTTGTGTATTTCGGCCTTTTGTGTATTTCGGCCTTTTGTTATTCGGCCTTCTGTGATTCGGCCTTTTGTAGTACTCCCCTATTTTATACCTGCAGATACTTGAAGTACCAACGTATTGTCCAGTAAATAACCAGCCATATATATGATACGTTTGATTATATTGTATCAATCACTTTTTGTTCTTACTAATTACGCAGAGGGTCAGATTTTTTTTATTTTTTAAACTATGTTAAATGTATGAACCTAAACGGGTGGTGGAAGTATCGGGAATGCAGAATTTTTGTTTTAATGTTATTCTAGAGCGTGAATGCACTTGGCTAGAAAGTTGAACATGACACAAGGCCAGCACAAGGCTCTGGCTACACACTAAGTTAGTCAATAAGGTTTTACTGAGCTTCTGAATTCGGTAAAAGTTTTAAAATATGTGGAAAATTCAACAATGAGAAAATTTATTCCGAACTTGTACATACTTAGTTCTTTTAACCCCATGTAATGATAGAAAAAAAAAATTTGTCAATTTTATAAATTCCTTGCGGATAACGGCCATTTGAATTTTCACCGACTTTTTCAGCAATTCAAAAACCAAGTAAAAAATACTGACTCCTGTTAAATAATCTAAATCACAAGAACCTGCAGACGCTGTGCTGCACAAAACTAACCTGGTTACAGCATCAGATTTGACGATTTCCAATTTACTAAAGATTCATGATTTCATCCTTAGGAAAAATTCTTGTTGAACTGTGTTATTGACCATAATGTTTCTCAATACAGGGCTGGAAAAATTGAAGAGGCACTCACCTTTGCGCAGACACAGATTTCCGAAGCAGGCGAAAGTAACCCGGAGGTGTTGAACGAGTTGGAGCGAACTCTTGCACTGTTGGCTTTCGAGAAGCCCCAAAACAGCCCATTTGCCGATCTACTCGATCAAACGCACCGACAGAAGGTGGCCAGTGAACTTAACGCAGCTATCCTCAAGATGGAACACCAGGAACAGTCGAGTCCACGGATGATTAACGTGCTTAAGCTGATCCTTTGGGCTCAAGCCGAACTTGACAAGAAGAATGTGAAGTATCCGAAAATGATCGATCTAGCGACGGCTACTATTGATCCTAAATAAAGACGGCGAAAAAAGGAATTAATATATATACATACTTATGTGTAACAATACTGAACAGTCGTGCTTTTTTTCTTCAAACCTTGGATTAGATGAAGGTCATTTGATTATTTGTGGAAAAATCAAAGGCCTTTGCAAGTAAAATAATACATGATAGATCAGTGAAATTCTTTCTGTACAGGGAGGTAGTGTTTTTGTCTATTTAGATCATTGAATTATAGGTTTGTTTTAGTTGTATATTTATCTCAAATGAAACCTGATCATGATGATAAAGGTTAATTAGATTGTAATGTTTTCATTTGTCCCCTTTGCTGCTGCCAAGTAGCGCCCAACACTCTAATGAAGAAAGTACGACTGTCTCAACTAATGCAGATACACTTGTCAATGAAAAAAGAAATGCAAAATATACAATAAGGACATTTTTCGGGTTTCAATGTTTATTTTTCTTCTATTTTACTAAAATCCTGCAACTTTAATTACTGAACGACGAATATTTACTGAAAATTTTGACAGCTTAAACATGCTTCTTATGGCCGATTTCTTCCACTCTGCTCAAGCCTTAAATCAGGTTTAACCATAGAGATTGCTAAAGTGTGATTGTGTCAGTGATTTGTTATCATCGGGAAAATTTTTCGCTATGAAGTTTTTTTTTCCGATGAAAACATTTTGCGTATACGTGTGCGTACGAAAAACGTCAGTAATCTCTATATGGGTAAACCTGATTTAATACTACACACTTAGATTTTTTTGCCGAGATGGGCACCACCGAGCAGCTCGGCATTTTATTTTGCTGGATCTCAGTGAAAAACTTGCCGAGATTCAGCTAACAAACGGGAATTTTGCCGAGATCTCAGCTAACAAACATATTTTTTGCTGAATTTCCAGCAAAATAAAATGCCGAGCTGCTCGGTGGTGCCCATCTCGGCAAAAAATCTAAGTGTGTACACATACATTGCCAAAATTGACCTCAAACACCGATTTCACAAAAATAAAAGACACACAAACTAACAACAGGTACGTAGGGCACTGAGCCTGAGCTAGTTATTGAGGCCTATTCTGTGCCGCGAGTGAGGCGATAAGTCACCCAAGTGAGGTGACTCTCCATTTGATTTGCACGGAGAGTCACCTCACTCGCGGTGACTTTTATCACCTCACTCGTGACAGTGAGTCACTTTACCTCAATCGCAGCGCAGAATAGACCTCAATATTTTTATCTGAATTATTGTTTACAAAGGCGGTTTAACTCTAATGAGAAGAAAGACATGGCAAATTTTCAGCCGTCAATTTTTGCTCCGTTTTTTCTCGACTTTTGTGAAGTTGTAATTAGATTTCGCTTATGCTCCCGCTCCAGAAATTTGTGGCATCGCGAGTGATAGTTTTTAAGTTCAGTTTATTTATGCGTTGTATGATTTTATGAGCGGTCACTTCGTGTTTGCGTCAAGGAGCAATTGACTATATTAAACCTGAGGATTGATCCCCGTAAAGCGGGTCTATGATCGGAACCACTACACCAAACGTGACAGAGCTGCTTGCAAAGGATTCACTTGGATTGATTTGGTGAGATTGTTCCTTTTTTTTTACTTTTATCTATTTAAACTTAATTTCTATGAATCCGTAGCATTTGGAATCATTTGATTCGGATGAGACTTAACTTTCATCCTATGGATTTTAGACATCCTATTTTTTTAGGAGACATCCTACTAAATACGTGCCATCTACAAAGCAGGAATTGCTTTGATGATGGAAGTGTACACGCAGTACCAATATACATTTTATATCGGTACTACGTGTATGCGGGGCGTGTTGTAAGTTCATGCATTGTTTCTTCTCATTGTAGACAGCGAATAACGAATAGCGAGCAAGGGCGCTATAACCTAGGCGAATACAGCATTCCCTCCGTATAGGTTACGTCCGCTCTCTGTTGTCCTTCGACTGAGGTCGGCTGGATCGATTGAGGGATGGCAGTGGGTGGGCGGTGCCGTCCACGCTTGTACGGAGGGAGGACTGTACGCTCGAACCCTGTGTTCCATCCCAGGAGATCGGACAACCAAGGAGTGTACATTAACTTTCTTAGCTCTGTCACTCCCAACGATTTATATAGCCTATTTTCAAATCCTGCATACGGAGCGGTTGGTACGGTATGTCCCCGCTCTTTGATTACCTGTGGATTAAATGTTAACCACTGTCTATACTTATTAAGTAGACATGGTAAACATTCACTTCCACACAAATTAACTAAACGCTACACAGTAGGCCTGGCCGCTTTATTGTTTGTTTCACATCCTTGATGTGCAGCAGGCATTAATAATGACAAGAAAATGATAGATGTATTTCTATCATTTCCAGGATTCTTTCAAGTACTGGCTGTGTATGTGTAGACTAGACAAAGGCGGTTTAACTCTAATGAAATGTTGATAACGAATTGTCTACTAGTGAAACTTTACGGTACTTTTTTTCGAAGAAAGAATTTTTCGAGAAAAATATTTTTTTTCGAAAAATAATACCATAAATACCACGCACCCTAATTTCGCGCAGTTTTGCAGGTTTTCATTGATAATGTTGAGCTTTGCTCTTCTTTTGCTTTAAAAGGTCGTTTTGAAAAATCCCTAAATAAAAGCTGTCAATTCGTAAACAAGATCCTAGGGACCGTCCATAAAAGGCGTGGCATATGTATGACCAATTTTAGACCTCCCCTTCTCCCCTCGTAGCGTATTTTACAATACATAATACATGGCCAATCCCAACTTCTGCAGACCTCTACCCGCTAAAATGCTACGTCATTTATGAATCGTCTCCTTGGGCTTCTACCAGTTTCCTCTACATGTATTATTACGCCGGAAAGGATCATCTCGTTCATCTGTTTTCCAACAGAAGTTTATATCTACTTCTTTTGGAAGCTACTTTGACTACATACGAAAGCTTCTTCCAACACCCCTCGGAAGACTCATCAAACTTCATTTGGAAGTTTCGTTTGGCTTCCCCCTTTAGGGTGTCTCCCGATTTCACCGGATTTGTTTTTCTTGTCAAATACTAGGCGTGCTGAACGGGAGCACAGGCTCCCTTAATTACCTTACCAATCAGCCTAAGGCCTTGTTGTCCTCTGCTACCCGAAGAAGTCGTCTCCACTCTACTCGATCCATGGCCACACTTCGCCAGCCTCGTAGTCTGCGAAGGGTCCGCAGGTCGCCTTCTACTTGGTCGACCCACCTTGCCCGCTGCGCGCCTCTTGTTCTTGTTCCTGTTGGGTGGCTTTCTAGAACCATTTTTACTGGGTCGTCGTGTTGCATTCTTACGACGGCCCAGCCCACCGTAGTCGCCCAATTTTTGCAATGTGGACGATGGATGGTTCTCCCAGCAGCTGGTGCAATTCGTGGTTCTTTCGGCTCCTCTACGTTCCGTGATCCATCTGCACTCTACCGTAGAACTCATCGACCTCCACGATTTCGTCACCGTCAATCTGAACTCGGGATGGGAGGCTAACATTGTCTTCCCTAGAACCTCTTCAGACCCGCCATCGTCTCAAAGCTCCGTGCCATGATGTCGATTTCATCGGCGAAGCCAAGAAGCTGGATGGACTTCCTGACGATCGTGCCACTCGTATTCCAGCTCTTCTGATCACACCTTCTAACGCGATGTTGAATAGCAGACACGAAAGTTCATCACCTTGCCATAACCCCCTTCGAGAGTTTTTCACGATACTCGAACAACGCACATCACTCGATCCATCGTCGCCTTGACCAATCGCGTCAGTTTACCCGCAAATCCGTAGTCGTGCATAATCTGCCATAGCTGATCTCGATCGAATGTGTCGTATGCGGATTAGAAATCGATGAACAAATAATGTGTGAGCACGTTGTATTCGCGGCATTTCTGCAGAACCTGCCGAATCGCGAATGTTTGGTCCGTGGTAGTGCGGGCACCCATGAATCCCGCCTGGTATTGCCCCACGAACTCTCTTGCAAATGGTGACAGGCGGCGGCATAGAATTTGGTCTATATCGCTCCACATTCAATCTCGTGCAGTGTTGCACCATTCTCGCCCGTGCTCAGGCATACCAAAAGTACCGCTTCATGACAGTATTCCAACGGCTTTCGCATTCTTTTTTCTACGACAGCCTTGAGATTGAGCTATAAGCGACAGCCCACAGTGAGGCTGTTATACGACATGCAACGTTGCCGTCTTGTGCAGTACACGACAGCTCGTTCTTAGTCATGTATTTTGTTCGTTCGGCTATGACAGCCTCGGATGGTCATTCGTAACGTTCCTCGTACATACAACCAGCAGTCCGTCAAACTGCCGATTTGTTGCTGCTGTCTTTGAAATTTTGTTTGTATGTCGTAAGACTGCTACTACACTACCAGTGTGGCGCCGGAGCTCGTTCGGTTGCTATCACGTTCGTGCTGCCCATTACAAAATTTTCATTCGATATTTTTTTTTAAACGCGTGGTCTCCGGCGAAAAATATAAGCCTACCCGACACCAACCTGTGCCGGCGCCGGTGGTGTAGTGGTAAGCGTGACTGCTTTCTAACACCCCGATGGGTCTGGGTTCAATCCCAGCCGAGGTCGGTGGGATTTTTCTGAGGCATAAAAATCTCTGGTCACGTAAAGCCGTTGGTCCCGGCCCATGTGTGTTTGAATGGGTGCGATATCCTACGCAGGTGTGGAAGCTGCCTTCCTGCACATTGACGGCAATCGATGTCCGTCGGTGATTCGCACTAGATTGCGGAACAGAGACCGACGTTTAATAAAGGAAAGAAAGACACCAACCTGATTTTTACCAAACCCCAACCCGATGTTGGCCCGACATTGACCCGACATAAACACATAATTTACCCGACATCGACCCGACATTTGGCCGACGTTGACCATCAATTGACCTTACATTGATCCGACATCGGGCCGACATATCTGTTCGGGATCATTATTCTGGGTTTCTTCCATACTCCATTGCCGTACATCAATCGTATATAATGTCTCGTGACAGCCTTTTCGTGACAGCCTTTTCGTGACAGCCACTTGGGTAAGCTGAGGGATGTCGTCGGTTTGTGAAGGCTGGTATGACGACAGAAACATTGAGAACCTGGGTCATAAAGAAATGTATAAATACAGCCCATTCGGTTCACTACGTTCCAAGCACGATGATTTTAGCAAATCGGGTATAGATGCGACTGTTCTAATACAGCTTTCATTCTTTCGTGCGTGCACTATTGCCAATACACTTAGAATTCAGATCTGAACGTACGGTAGCAAGCGGTAGTAAAGCACACAAAGCAACAGTCAATTCATGTATAAACCAACTGTCGCGAGGCTGTACTATTTGGAAGCCTGCCCGTGCTGCATTCTTCTCCTCTAATAACAGTTTGCATTCGCCGTCAAACCAGTCATTTCTTCGGTCCGGGATCGCAGTACCTACACACTTAATCATGGCTTCTC